AAATATACACATATACCACTTCTTCTTTATCCATTCATCCATTGATGGACCCCCTAGGTTATTTCCATATCTATTGTAAATAACACTGCAATGAACACAGGGGTGTATATATCTTTTCAAGTTAGTGTTTTTGTGTTCTTTGGATAAATACCCAGAAGTGGAATAGCTGGGTCATATGGTAGTTCTTTTCTTAAATTTTTGAAGATCCTCCATACTGTTTTCCATAATGACTGCACCAATTTACAGTCCTACCAACAGTGCACAAGGGTTCCCTTCCCTCCCCATTCTCTCCAACACTTGTTATTTCTTGTCTTTTCCATAATAGCCACTCTAACAGGTGTGAGGTGATATCTCATTGTGCTTTTGATTTGCATTTCCCTGATGATTAGTGATGTTGAACATCTTTTCATGTGTCTGTTGGTCATCTGTATGTCTTCTTTGGAAAAATGTCTATTCATATCCTCTGCCTATTTTTTAATCAGGTTGATTTTTTGTTGTTGAGTTGTGTGATTTCTTTATATATTTTGGATATTAATCCCTTATCAGATATATGATTTGCAAATATCTTCTTGCATTCAGTAGTTTGCCTTTTCATTTGGTTGATTGTTTCCTTCACTATGCAGAAGCTTTTTAGTTTGATGTAGTCCCATTTGTTTATTTTAGGTTTGTTTCCGTTGCCTGAGGAGACATATTCGAAAAAATATTGCTAAAATTGATGTCAAAGAACATACTGCCTATGTTTTCTTGTAGCAATTTTACAATTTCAGGTCTTACATTTAAGTCTTTAATCCATTTTGAGTTTATTTTTGTACATGGTGTGAGAAAGTAATCCAGTTTGATTCTCTTGTATGTAACTGACCAGTTTTCCCAACACCATTTATTGAAGAGGCTTTCTTCCATTGTATGTTCTTGCCTCCTTTATTAGATTAATTGCCCATATAAGTGTGGGTTCCTTTCTGGGCTCTCTATTCTGTTTCCATTGATCTGTGTGTCTGTTTTTGTGTCAGTGCTGTAATGTTTTTGATTACTATAGCTTTGTAGTATAGTTTGAAATCAGGGAGTGTGATACTTCCAGCTCTGTTCTTCTTTCTCAATACTTTTTTGGCTAGTCAAGGTTTTTGTGGTTCCATACAAATTTTAGAATTATTTGTTCTAGTTCTGTGAAATATGCCATTGGAATTTTGATAGGTATTACATTGAATCGGTAGACTGCTTTGGATAGAATGGGCATTTTAGCAATTAATTATTCCAATCCATGAACACAGAATATTGTTCCATTTATTTGTATCATCTTCAGTTTCTTTCATCAGTGTCTTATAGTTTTCAGTGTTTAGGTCTTTCACCTCCTTGGTTAAATTTATTCCTAGGTATTTCATTATTTTTTGAATTAAGAATTGCTTTCTTAATTTCTCTTTCTGATAGTTGTTTTATTTCGTTTTGTTTTAATATTTATTTATTTATTTGGTTGTGCTGGGTCTTAGTTGCAGCAGGCGGGCTCCTTAGTTGCAGCTCACAGGCTCCTTAGTTGTGGCTCATGGGCTCCTTAGTTGTGACATGCATGTGGGATCTAGTTCCCTGACCAGGGATTGAACCCGGGGTTCCCTGCATTGGGAGCACGGTGTCTTAACCACTGCACCACCAGGAAATGTGGAATCTTTCGTCGCAGCATGCTGGCTTCTTGTGGCACGCAGGCTTCTCTCTAGTTGTGTCATGTGGGCTCCATAGCACATGGGCTCTGTAGTTTGTGGCATGCAGGCTCTCTAGCTGAGGTGCACGGGCTCAGTAGTTGTGGTGTGTGGACTTGGTTACCCTATGGCATGTGGTATCTTAGTTCCCCAACCAGGGATCGAACCCATGTCCCCTGCACTAGAAGTTGGATTCTTTACCACTGGACCACCAGGGAAGTACCTCTGATAGTTTGTTTTTAGTGTATAGAAAAGCCACAGATTTCTGTATGTTGGTTTTGTATCCTGACACTTCACTGAATTCATTTATTAGTTCTAATAGTTTTTTTAGTGAAGTTTTTAGGGTTTTCTATATATAATATCATGTCTATATATAATAATAAATAGTGACAGTTTTACTTCTTCCTTCCCAATTTGGATGCCCTTTCTTTCTTCTTCTTCTTCTTTTTTTTGCCTAATTTCTGCTGCTAGGACTTCCAATATTATGTGGGATAAAAGTGGTGAGAGTGGGTATCCTTGTCTTGTTCCTGATCTTAAAGGGAAAGCTTTCAGCTTTTTACTGTATGGTGTTAGCTGTGGGTTTGTCATATATGGCCTTTATTATGTTGAGGTGTGTTACCTCTATACCAACTTTGTTGAGGGTTTTTATCATAAGTGGATGTCGAATTTTGTCAAGAGATTTTTTTGCATCTATTGAGATGATCAAATGGTTTTTATTACTCAGTTTGTTAATGTGGTGTATCACACTGATTGATTTGCAGATACTGAACCATCCTTGCATCCCTAGAATAAATCCCACTTGATCATGGTGTATTATCTTTTTAATGTATTGTTGAATTCAGTTTGCTATTATTTTGTTGAGATTTTTTGCACCTATGATCATCAGAGTTATTGGCCTGCAATTTTCTTTTTGTGTGTGATGTCTTGTCTGGTTTTGGTATCTGGGTGATGCTGGCCTCATAGAATGAGTTTGGAAGTGTTTCTTCCTCTGCAATTTTTGGAATAGTTTGAGAATGGTAGGTGTTAACTGTTCCCTAAATGTTTCATAGAATTCACCTGTGAAGCCATCTGGTCCTGGACTTTTTTGGGAGTTCTCATTGTGGTTTTGATTTGCATTTCCCCGATAATTAGTGATGTTGAGCATCTTTTCATGTGTCTATTGGCCATCTGTATGTCTTCTTTGGAAAAATGTCTATTCAAATCCTCTGTTCACCTTTTAATTGGGTTGTTTATGTTTTTGACACTGAGTTGTACGAATTCTTTATACATATTTGGATATCAACCCCTTATTGAATATATCATTTGCATATATATCTCTCATTCAGTAGGTTGCCTTGTCACTTTGTTAATGGTTTCCTTTGCTGTGCAAAAACTTTTTAGTTTGGTGTAGTCCCATTTGCTTATTTTTGCTATTGTTGCCCTTGCCTGAGGAGATATATCCAACAAATATTGTTAAAACTGATATCAAAGAGCTAACTGCCTATGTTTCTTTCTAGAATTTTTATGGTTTCAATCTTAATTTAAGTCTTTAATCCAGTTTATTTTTGTACATAGTTTAAGAGTGTGTTGTACATTTTCATGTTACTAATTAGCATCCTCTTATTTCAGCTGGAAGAACTCCTTTCAGTATGTCTTACTACCATTTCAGTAAGGTAGGTCTACTGGTGATGAACTCCCTCAGCTTTCATTTGTCTGGGAAAGTCTTTATCCTCCTTCATTTCTGATGGATAACTTTGACAAATACAGTATTCTCGGTTGGCAGTATTTTTCTTTCAGCATTTTGA